AGCCATTACAGCCAAAAATGGAGCTCACCAGCCCATTTTTGCTGGCAGAGGGTTGCAGGAAGCCATTACAGCCAAAAATGGAGCTCACCAGCCCATTTTTGCTGGCAGAGGGTTGCAGGAAGCCATTACAGCCAAAAATGGAGCTCACCAGCCCGTTTTCACTGGCAGAGCGGTTGGGCCATCACAGGCACCCCCAACACGAGTGATGTCGAGCTGGCAACACCTACCGCAGCCACGCCGACTCCGCCCCCTAAGGTCAAACACAACCCTGATGCGGCCCTCAATGAAATTCAGTTTAACACCCCTGTTCTATAGTCTGTGGACATCTCTAAACCAATACAAGGGAGTCCTTGGGTTAATTGGGACCAGAATTTTGGTCACAAGGATTCTACCACTTGTTCTGTCACATAAAAAATAAGATTCTTATCCACTGAAAATTGAGAATCAGTTGAGACAATTTCTCCTCTTCTACCTTTCATTGCTCCCTGAATTTATATATGCTCTATCTTTAGATTGTCACATAATTAGTGGGCTGAATATACACTATCATTTGTTATGCTAGCCTAACACCAAAGGGAAATATATTAGAATCATTTAGCAGTGCATTTCAGTGTAAGAAACAAACAATGCAACAAGATTTGCTCCCATAAAATCCAACTGGAGTTATTTGTACATTGGTTTTCTCTGCCTACATCAATCATCACCTTACCTTGATAACCAATTTGTCCAAAGTCATTGTTGTCTCTTTAATTGGTGATTAAATCTGTAAGATAAGTAAAAGAGGTATCACATTAGGAAATCTGTAATGATTAGGGACTCTGAAGCCTACATACCATAATGTCAAACTTGAAAGAATGTTCTGTTCATGAATGCATATAATTTGGTTTTTCTTTTTACTTTGTAGCTTACTACAAAGTACAATTAGGCACAGAACACATGTAATATGTTTAACCAAATTGCTTGGAGTTTTAAATTATTTCCACAGATACAATTCCTTTCTTTTTTTTCTTTTTTGCTGTTGCAATTATTGGGATAGAGTATGGAAAATAGCAAATTTCTACGGCAACATTTATGGTCAAAGTCCCAGCCACATAATTACTTAACAGGATAATGGGAGAAATACTACTGTAGTATTTCCCAACTATGACACTTTTGATATCCAAACCTGTCAGCAATAGCAATTTCATCCAAAGATGGAAAATCTAAGTGTTACTTAAGTCTTCCTATAAGAAATATACCTTAAGTCGAAGCTATATTTTTTCTACTGAGAATGCATATTTATGTTACTGTTGTCATAACTTCTCACCATCATAAATATAAAGTGCTCTGATTAAGAAAGGATTAAAAGGGAAAAAATACTACCTATAACTGAAGAACATTTCTGATCAAAGCTTCTGTTTAAAAGTGAACATCTGTATATAAAAAAGCAGGTGTGTGTGTGTCTGTGTGTGTTCCAGCATAACTCTGGAACGCCTCAAGCAATTCCAACCAAACTTGGTATACAGAAGACCTACTTTCTGGAAACAAATAATGTGGGGCTAAGACAGCCCTAACCCCCTTCGGGGTGTTTTCTGTTAAGATACAGCCTGTTGTGCCTTAAATGGCTTCTACTGTACTTCTGTAAAATGGCTTTTACTGTACAGCGCAGTGGAATTGCCATGGTAATGGCTTCAAAGTATTCCATGAGTGGGTTCCCTCTGGTAAGGGGGAAAATCCAATATTAGAAATTACTTTTGGTCTAGACATTTTCCCCCTATAAATAAATACGTGGGCAATGCTGGGTTATTGGCTAGTTGTAAATAATGTTAGTTTACAAAATTTCAGGATTTACTCATTAGATTATTTATGATTTAAATTTACTGTTCCACCTGTTTGATAATATGATAATCAAGTAGAAGTTGAAGCTGAGAAGCTCAAATTATAGGAGGGGACAAAGGCAGGGAGCTTCAGACAGACATAGATCTCTGTTTGGTGCTCTCTTATTCAGAGTAAGAACTCTGCCTCCCGAGTACAGTATCATGCTTTAAACATTTCTAGATCCTCCCTCTAAATGGAAAGAGGAGGGACCAGCAGGGGACATGAGTGTGAGGCCTTGCAATGGCATGTGGGAATGACCTTAGGACAGTGGCCCCCAACCTTTTGGGACCGGTTCCATGGAGAGAGGTTTTTCCACGGAGTAGAGGAGGCGTGGTTTTGCATACTACTTGCATCCTGCAGATTGGACTTCACTTGTTTGCGCGGATCAGTTGCTGGCATGCCATGGACCAGTGTTGATCCACGGACTGGGGATCCCTGCCTTAGGAGATAGGAGGGAGAGTGGCAGACTAAACAACTGGCATGCAAAATATGCCTCAACCCATAGAAGTAGTGAGGGTTTGGGAAACGTTTTTGAGAGAGCAAAAAGAGAAAAGGGAAGAAACACCTTCAGATTTCCCTACATGATAATGTAACCTTATAATAAAGATAGAACTAATATTTCTGGTTGTGCTTTTTATAGGGTTTACAGGTATGGCTGGTACACCTAATGCCACACTCTCTTCAAGTAACAGAATGCCCACAAAATAAGCATCACATAACCTGTTACAATTTTCATCTCTTCACTGAGCTCACCTACCCAGGCTAAACCAAAATATTGGGGATGGGGTTTTCAGAAAAAACACAATAGCCACTTCCTCCATATTATTGCCATGAGAATTACACAGAATTTACACATATCAAGGCAGTAAGCAGCAATCAAATTCAACTCAAGAAAGTCTTTACCTTAATGCTTAATATTAGAGTGAGGCCTTTCTTCCTACTGGCAGAGAAATCAATCCCAGGTTCAAATATTCTATCCTATATCATTTATTACAATTAAAAAAAAATCCTTGGAGGTCCCCATTGCCCTGAATCATGCTTAAGACCAAAAGAGGAAAATGAAAACACATATAAACGCACACACAGGCCATTCATCAGAGAGACCAAAATACTTTCTACATTCCTCAGTTCCTGGGAAAAAATAAAGTCAATTTTTAAAATTATTTTTGCATTCAACACTTAGCTGCCTGACGAACGGTGAATACTGCATAATTAAAAGCAAATGTTTTCATACTTTAAAATCAAACAGAAAATGATAAAAGCTTGTTGAAATAAGCTCTGGAATTAAGAGCAAAGGAAAGTCAGAAGGGGACTCAGCAGTAGCAAACCACTGAGATAGAATTTAGATGTAAAAAAGGCTCTTTCTATATAGAAACTAACTCCCTAAAGGAGAATATTTATAGCTCGGGGTTGAAATGAGGAACTCCTTGAGCTCTCTGAGCTTGGTTGTTTTCTTGCAGACATTTTATTACCCAAACTAGGTAACATTGTCAGTGCTAGTCGCTAGTGCTAGCACTGATGATGTTATCTAGTTTGAATAATGAAACATCTGCAAGAAAACTAAGCAACCAAGCTAAGAGAGCACCAAGGACCCCTCAACTAATACTCTGCACCAGGGGTGGGTTTCGACCGGTTCGCAC